TGACATAGCAACAGACAGAAAATGCCGCAAAATGGTTACACACCATAAACCTTAATGAAATAGAACCATTCTGAAGGCTTTTGTTTGTCCTAAGCCATAAAAATAACAATCGGCGGCTTAATGATGGACTCTATTATTGTATAAGTGAACTAAGTTAAACACGCGAGTCACAGAACACTATCAAAATGCTTACATTGTCTCTATTTTAACGTTGGAATGATTGTGTAATGAAATTTGCTTTTATTCATCTAATAAAGGAGTAATACATTTGCTTGAAACTTGCACGACTGACATCGCATCTTGATACAGTGTTGATACAGAAAACGTTATCAAAAAGACCTCGCTCTGCTGCAAATATATTGATTGGCTTACGTCTAAATGTTGGTTGCTTAATATGCCCAAAAAGAAGAAAAGCGTTTGGCTGTAAAATAATCCCACACAATAAACTTTAATGAAATAGAACCATTTTGAAGGCTTTTGTTTGTCCTAAGCCATGAAAATAACAATCGGCGGCTAAATGATGGCCTCTAATATTGTATATTGTATATATATTATTGTAAGNACTTTAATGAAATAGAACCATTTTGAAGGCTTTTGTTTGTCCTAAGCCATGAAAATAACAATCGGCGGCTAAATGATGGCCTCTAATATTGTATATTGTATATATATTATTGTAAGTACTCTCAGGACTTACTCTTTGCTAAGTCAAACACGCGAGTCACAGAATACTATCAAAACGCTTACATTGTCTATTTGAACGTTAGAATGATTGTATAATGAAATTTGCTTTTGCTCGTCTAATAAAGAAATAATACATTTGTTTGAAACTTCCACGCCACATCATATCTTGATGCAGAAACCTTTATCAGAAAGACCTCACTATACTGAAAACAATATCAACTGCATGTTTTGTGACCTGTGCCCTAAAGAACTATCCTTTGTAAAAACTATTAAAGAGAAAAGTCAAAATAAATATGATCAAACAGTTAAACACTCTGATCAAAAGTGAAGCTACAGCTCTAGCTCCCTCCTGATTTAAAGCCGTGTTCTAACGATGAGAGCTTCAGCCACGTATGGGTCTTCCTTCTCATCTTCGCTTTCTGCTCCCTTGAGTACCGGTTCT